GACAAAAGTTTTAAACTTGAGAATTTTGAAAGAAATTGAATCTGCAAGTTTTGTTTCTATACTAGTAGATGAAACTACCGATGTTTCATGTCGATCACAAATGAGTATAATATTTCGATATATTGTGGAACAAAATGTTGTTGAGAGATTTATTGGATTTTTTGATATTTCTAAGGACAAAATTGGGTTGGGCTTAGCTGAAGTGATAAATGTTCAAATCGTAAAATGGGAAATAGGAAAAAAATTATAAGCCAAACTTATGATGGAGCTTTAATAATGGCTAATGGAAATAATGTTCAAAATATCATAAGAAAATTATACCCAAGTGCGTTACTTATGCATTGTTATCGCCATGATTTAAATTCAGTATTAATAAACGGTGCAAAAACGATGCAGCCAGTAAAAATGTTCATAAGTAGTATAACGATGTTTCATAGGTTTTTTAGTCGATTAACTAAAATAAGTGAACTTCTTAGAGAACAAGATTTTAAACTTCCACTTCAATATGACACAGAGTGGAATTTATATTCTCAAGGTGCTTCAAAAATTAAATTTTATTTTCATGTAATTATAAATACAGCAAAATATGTGACTGAAGTTAAGAACTGGGATCCATGTTTATTGCGATTGCATCTAGTTTATTAGATAAATTAAACGATTTTGATTTTGTCTACTTTATAAACTTATTTAACCAAATATCAGTTAATTATAACATATTTTCTTAATTTTTGCAATCCAAAAATATGTCTGATGTTAATGGTTGTGTTAATAAAATTCAAAATCTAAGAGAAAACATTTTAATGATAACAAATAAAGAATTAGTAGACCATTTTTATAAAGAATCAAATATGATGAATAATATTTTGATTTATGATACTTATAAAAAAAACTTTCTTCGAAAGTTAACTTATGAAATATTAGATTCATTTATTGAACAATTTGATATTAAATTTAATGATTTTTCATACCTAGAGTTCGTTGAATTAACAAATGAAAACTTATCATATACTATAGTCAAACTATCGCAGTTACTTAATCAATATCCAAATTACTTTGATGAACATCGTTTACGTAATGAGTTGCAAGTAGTATACTCAGATACTGAAAAACGCATATCCCCTCGTGAAATGTTAGATTATTTTTATAAATGTAGGTTAATTAAAAAATTAGTATTATTTAAATACTAATTTTTTTTCAGATGATTTACATGAAATATATTCCCAATACACCAAGCTGTGCCAGTTATTTTTGTCTTTACCTATTACTCGTGCATCTAATAATCAATCTATGACTACATTAATACGCGTAAAATCATTTTTAAGAAATACTATGGAAAATGAGCGACTTTCTTTCTTTTCATCGATAGCGATAGAAAAGCAACTACTTGGATCCATGGTGAGAGATCCTATGTTTGTTGAAGACGTTATAAATGAATACGCTGAAAAAGAAGACTTAGGCTTTGCTCTTATTTATAGAGATGTATTGTCGATTGAAAAGTTATTTATTTTATAAGAATTATTATTTCTAATTGATAATTTTTCCTTTAGTTTCTTTAAATTAAAAATAAATCTCTTAAAATTTTAAATTTATTAATTTGTATATCTAAACCTTACGTAGTATTGTTTTTATTGAAATTGATAGTAAATTATTATAAACCACTCATTTTACCTTCGATGCGAAGCTGAGAAGGTATTGGTTTTACTATGATGTGTTTTTTTTTTTTTTGTGTCTGTTACCACTTTTTCTCAGCTCTCACCGAACCGATTTCTTTCAACGATACGTCAAAAGATCACAAGTCGTATCTAATCAAAGACATTACCCTCAAAAGTTGAAAAAATTTCCCTCGTTTCCAGTAAATGGGGGAAACTTCCAAAAAAATTACAAATTTAAAAATTGCTAATTTTCGAAATTTTTAAAATTTTTTTTCTTAAAACTGTCATAACTTTTTCAAAAATGACCAAATAAATATCATTTTTTTTTATAGATGCTTGATGTCTTTACCTATCATTTGGTATATTTTTTTTATAAAACTGACCTTTTACATGCACACAGGGAAGATTTAAAATTACAACTTTTTCACAAAAATTTTACTTTTTCAACTTGACTTTTGAAAATGATCCGGAAAGTCTGATACTTTAATATATATCTTGAACTAACAATAATGTAATATACTTTATTATGAAAAAAAAAAATTTGACCTCTGGACTTGTCTTCGTGGCGAAAATGCCTACCGAATGCTATTTTCGTATGAAAATTCTTGATTTTATATTTTACATTTTTAACTTTATAATGCTATAACTTATTGAAAAGTGTATGGATCAACACAATTTTTTTATGAGAAATAATATTTTTTAATAATCCCTTATTCATTCAGGATATTAACAAGAAAATAGCAGATCATGTAGCTTTTGGAATAATCCACCAATTTTTTAAAATTAAACACTATCTAAAGATTTGCATCGAAGCCTTTTTTTTTATAGTGATTTTAATCACTGTCAGATATTATCTATACTGGACCCAACTATGCCACGATTTTCTTGTGCCGAGTTTATTTTTTCGGTGAAAATTATTTATATTTTTAAAAAATGACTTAACATTTTTACAATGACATTTCTGATATTGTATATAATCACGAATAAAGTGGATTAGAACTCGAATCGGTCAGTAATTAACCCGATGAAGAAAAAACGACATACAACACTTTTATTTTGTCGTTTATGAACATGTTAGTGTATTTATTGTAAACATATCAAATTCTATATGTTACTTTGTTATGAAAAAAAAAAAAATAAAACTATTCATGGAATATGCCAATTAAGAATCTGAAAATATAAAATTAGTTTTCCTTGTGTATTTAAAAGATAAGAAGCGATTGAATATTAAAAATTCGAAAAGACTTAATTAGTGTATGCGTACAAAATCATAAAAATACCTGACAGGTATGTTACGGTTTATGTTTCAAAAGTGTTAAAAAAAATAGTATAATGAAGTTTTCTAGGAAGTAGAATTATTACATGTTACGTCAACCGTACACATTGACAAACACGTTAGGGTTTCGTCGCTCAAATATTTTAATGTGGGACACAAGTGTGGGAAACGTCAACCCCGTAAAATCATACCTGTATTCCTCGTTAAAATTTTTTTTGATCAACGATCAATTAATTTCTGGTGGGACAGGAATATATGATGAACCGGCGAGTGGCGTATACTTGTATACGCTGAGCATAAGGCCGTCGATATGCGATAGAGTAGAGCCGTTACCCCTCCACGAGTACGTGTCTTCCTCAGCGATAATAACCTCAAAATCTTCAGCGACTACACATCCGATATCCGTATTGGATAGTAATGCCCTAGCGCGTGTCTCGAAGGCACGATCCTCGGGCAGTACTTCTGATCGCGGTATATGGTATGAGGCCTCCAATTTGAAATTGTACGTTCTTTGGATAAAACCAAACGGCCCCCCGCTTCAATGCAGTATTAATCTCAGTGAAATCACGGGTATCCGTCAACTGCATACGTAACCTATTTGATCTAACCACGCTGTTTTTAGCCCCTACTACTCTTAGGCGCCTGACGTCACGAAGCAGATTTAAACGAGGTAGCTTTAATAAAAAATAAAATAAATTATTTAATTATTGGAAGAAAAAAAAATAATCCAAAATAGTAGGGGTGATAAAATTAAAGAAATATAAATGTAAATTAAAATGTTAATAATTGTAAAAATCTAAATACATAGTACAGAAGACGTTTGCTGGTTCATGACTTTTTATTCAAGCGTGTAAATTATTAATATAATAAATTTATAGTTTTCAAAATGACAACTCTGCGTTAACGTCAATGCAACACATATGTGACAGGATAAAAAGCGTTTAATAGGTTATATAGTCAAATAATAAAATGCGAAGGCGTGAAAAAAAACAACGTTGCCATTTTTCTCATAAAATGCTGACGCCTATGAACGTTATAATATAGTAATATAGCAATATCTTTGTTCCTGGAAATAAGCTTACCCAAGTGTCTGGTAGGCAATGATAAAATTCTTAGAAAATGATTAATTATATACAATCTATACATGCAGCATATTAGTTTACGTCGGGTTTCATCCCCTCCTTCTTTAGGATATGTTGAAGAAGAAACCTGTAGCGTTAATATTAATTCAATATGTTAAAGGAATAGCCTAGGACTCGTGTGGTAGCGACGGCTACTTAAAGTGTGCTATTCAATGTAATGCGTACGTTTAAACATATGTTTATCAGTTGACTTTTTCAGATATCGTGAGTTTTAGTTTACCCTATTTTCCAGTAGATCGCGCCGTAGGAGGTGAACAACTATGTATGTACCATCTCTCCCACCCTTGGCATTGATTTATAGTGAGTATGCGTACTATAGTTTAAAAAAACGCCATTTTGAATGAACTTCAGACCCTTACCCCCACTATAAATAAACGGCGCCTCGTCCTACTCTCTCCATCATAAAAACCACGCCTTCCCCTGACCTCGACCTTCAAAATACCCTCCACAACATACCATTGATTTATGAGGTGATGATGCGGGGTACCTAGAATCCCCAATATTACCCTACTTATATTATCAATATAATTTTTGAAAAATTAAAAATATATATCTTTTTAGTTTCATATATTTCTTAATTTATCAGTTATTCATTACTCTTTTAATTCATTCCTAATAACTTCTTGGAGTGGTAACATTATTTTTTGAACTGAAAACATACTTTATACTTACTTAAATAAAAAAATAAAACTGTGAGTATTACATTCGAGTCATCGAATATATGAAAACATACGAGTAATCAAGGAAAACACAGTAATATTTTATTGAAAACTATTAAATATTTTAGATTTTTATAAAAGAAAATATTGTTTAGTTCTAAAAACTACATTAATATATAAATTTTTTTTTATCCGGAGACAACAATAATCTGATTCAATGGGCCATAAATTATTTTTATATCAGTTACCAAGAAAAATCATCCACAAATTCAACAAAGAATAATAGTAAACTGTATTTTAAGTTAAATATAACAGTATACATTAATTGATCAATTTATTCAATTTATTAATATTATTATAAAATTAATTAATTATTGATACTGTGTCCCGACGATGACGCTTTAAAATGATGCAGAACAACAATCATCAAGACAAAAATTAAATACTAAAAAATATCTCGGTAAGTTTCTCTACTCTGTATATCGGTTGAGATTGATATGTACAATGGATTATTGCAATTTTTTTTCAGCTGTGTATTTTTAATTTGGTATTTTTTTTGGTTCGTTTTCACATGTATATAATCAAATTTGGGGGGTGAGACCAATGAATTTCCTAAGTCGAAAAATAAGGACCACCCTAATAAGTATAATAAAATTATGAGTATTATTATTTTAATGTAAATTAAATGTTCAACTTGTTAAATCTATTATCCATTATTTATATTTGTAGAAACTATTTATACATTATATAATCATATGTGTAACATGGACTATATTTTGACGAATCCGTTGTTTCAATTTCTAATTTGGTCTCATTACTATCAATACTTGCTTCGTTTTGAATACTAGATAGGGATGTTTCAATTTTTACAAATCCAAGATCTGCAAACTGAACATCATTTACCAAGTCATCTTCAATTTCGTCCAAATCATATGTTCTATTAAAAGTTTTATAAAAATCATCTTTGCATAAATTTTCTACACGAAAAAATATAATTAAATTTCAGTTTATTAATTTGATTTTTCTGATAATTTTAAATTATTATAGTTATAAACTTACCAACAACATTATCGGTTAAAACATCTTTTTTATGTGTATAATTGCTGTGCTTCATTTTTTTATGCAAACTATTTTGTGAAATAATCAAGTTATTATGTTTTTTTAGTTGTACAATATAGTTTTTCACTTGCATACTGTATTTAAAAACAATTTTGTAGTTACCATAGAAATTATCTTGTGTTATTGTAATAGTTGGTTCTATTTCATACCTAATACCTTTATTTATTAACGTATTTTTTAAAGTTTCATGAATATTGAATATTATATTATAATTCTCATTTATAATTGGCCAATGATACGCACTATTCAAAAAATGTTTTAATCTATTTACAATTTTGAAAACAAATTTGTAAGATAAATCATTAAAAATATTGAGATCATTTATTTTATTCAGAGATTCTATTACCGTTCGGGTTAACAATATAATATGTCGACAAATATTTTTATTGTAATAGCTTGCATTTAAATCAGAGGTTGAAAGACTTAAAATAAGGTTAGCAAATTTACCTAATAATACGAAAACAGGGTAAAAAAGAGATGTACTAACTAGTGTTTGAAATAAATATACATGACGATGATTAAAATTGAATTTTATAAATCGGAATACATCTGATAATGTAATATCACTACCGTCTGCACATTGTATATTTAATGGAGTAAAACGGAGAAGATCTAAGTAATCATTTTTTATGTCTGCTTTAATTTGTCTTCTTTGAGAACCATTCATAAAATTCTTTTCATTTTCAATAGATTGGTGGGTTAATAAATCATAATATATAACATTTTTTGGACTAAACAATTGTGTAAAGGAATCTGTACATAAGTCAGTATTTAATTCTTTCATGATTTTATTCCTAAGATCCTTTGTTACGAAAACCAATTTTTCTATATTTAGTTCACTATGTTCATCATTAATTTTTGGATAGTCTACAAATAGTGAAACAACTTCATCAGCACACCAAGTATTAATATATTTAGATAACTGATTGGAAATATGTTCATGAATCATCTGATATCCTTTCAGTAATTGTAATTTCTTATTTTCTTTTGTATTTTTAACAGATATTTTTCTACTAATTATACTGACTGATCCTGATACGTTATTTAAATACAAGTTCACTGCCATCAAATCTCTAGGTAAATAATCACATTTCAAATAATATAATTCTTGAATCATCAATAATACGATTTCACCGTGAGTCTGAATTGCTTCTCCGTATTTTTTTAAATCTTCTTCAGAAATTTTGTCTAGAGTTTCATTAATGTGTAACAAATATTGTTTGTTATGAGTGAAATAATTCAACATGTATCTTGAAAAATTACAATGACGTTCTTTGACGCACGTACTTACAGATGACAGATTAAACACTATAAATGTTAAAAAAGTAAAGAAAATCATTTTTTAACAAATTTATACAGAAACTCTAAAGAAATTTAAAATTAAAATTTTATTAAGACTAAAACCTTACATTATTTGAAAATAGAAATATATTACGTGTCTTTTTATATATATCAAGGTCTTTCCAATTTTTATGTAAAAAAATCTATTTTTTATTACAATATATACATTCGTATATATACATTTTAATGTATGATTTATTATTCCTTTTAATATTTATAGAATAAGTTACATAATAAAAAATTAAATTAAATTGAAACTTAAAAAAAGACTAACCTTCTACAATACTTAATAATACAATCTTAATGTGTGGTTTATTAAAGTGTACGGAAATTCTGTATTGTGTTTTTCATATTTTACGTATGTTAGCTATAACCCATCAGGTTTTCACATTTTTAAAAACTATTATCTACTGAATATTTTGTATTACTTTTAGCTTCGATGCGAAGCTGAGAAGGTATTGATTTTACTAAGATGTGTTTTTTTTTTTTTTTTTTAAATGAAAAAAATTCCTTCGTTCCCCGTAAATGGGGGAAACCTCCAAAAAAATTACGAATTTAAAAATCGCTAATTTTTAAATTTTTTCAATTTTTTTTACTTAAAAGTGCCATAACTTTTTCAAAACTGACCAAATAAATATAATTTTTTTTTATAGATGCTTGATGTCTCTACCTATCATTTGGTATATTTTTTTTATAAATTTAACCCTTAACCTGCCCACAAGAGGGGATTTAAAATGACAACTTTTTCTACTTAACTTTTGAAAATGTTCCGGAAGGTCTGACACTTTTATATATACCTTAAATTAAAGCTAATGTTCTGTTCTTTATTATACAAAAAAAAATTTTCGGAATTTATTTTATCTTCACGGTGAAAATGGCTACCAAATGCTATTTTTGTGTGAAAATTTTCGATTTTGTATTTTACATTTTTAACTTTATTATGCTATAACTTTTTTAAAATGTATGGATCAGTATAATTTTTTCACGGGGAGTAATATTTATATACATCTTTCATTTGACATACTGTTTTTTTAAATCGGACCATTTCCCTATATACGAGGGGGGTTCAAATCTAAAAAATGCATGTAGAAAGTAGAACTTTTTCAACTTAAATTTTGAAAGTGTTCCGGAAAGTCTGACACTTTTATATATATCTTAAATTAAAGCTAATGTAACATACTTTATTATGCAAAAAAAAAAAATTTCGGACATTATTTTATCTTCATGGTGAAAACAGACATCAAACTTAATAAAAAAAAATACGATTTTTGTAAAAAAATTCTTTTTTATATTTTGAACTTTATAATACTATAACTTTTTGAAAGATGTATGGATCAATATAATTCTTTTTTTTATAGATGCATGATGTCTTTACCTATCATTTGGTATATTTTTTTTATAAATCTGACTTTTTACCTGCTTACAGGGGGGGATTTAAAATGACAACTTTTTCAAAAAAAATTAACTTTTTTTACTTAAATTTTGAAAGTGTTCCGGAAAGTCTGACACTTTTATATATAAAGCCCCTTATTTATTTTTAAAACAACGCCTAGATTTGTATGTGTGTATAATTAGATTCAATTTAATTTAATGGAATTGATCTTTGGTTTTATTTAACATTATATTTTCATAAAATTACTACTACAAAAAAAAGTGATGAGTATAAAAACAAAAAAATGGTTTTCATTTCAATATTAAACGAAACATCATGTCAATTTTTGAAAATAGCTATATTATCATTGTCACGGTATGATTACCAGGGGGCCTAACACTTTCTGTTTTTTGTTTTCTACTTTTAATCTAGTTAGAAACTATCCCTTTATTGGCTCCCTAGTTTGAGGAGTTAAGCTGACTTATAGTATACTTACCAGTATTCGGGAAGAGCCAACAAATGCACTTTGTTGCCAAATATACATTTAATTCTTGTGTGTGTGTTCATGTTTACGAGTAGGCAAAGACGGTGTATGACAGTAAACATCATCTAGAATTAATTTATTAATAATTCAGTTATAAGTTATCTAATAAATTAATAAACAAATTAGTTATATAAAAATTATTTTATACTAATTTTATTGAGTTTGAATTGATATTTAATAATTTAGTATTGTATTCAATACAAAAGAATCATAAAATAATGGTAGCACAGTGAGGTAGCGAAAGAGTGTTAACTTACCATAGTAGGGAATACTATAAATAATTAATAATATATATATATAATCAATAATTATAATCAATAATTATAGATGATATCTGACAGTGATTAAAATCACTAATATAAGAAACGCTTCTATGCAAATATGTAGATAGTCTTTAATTTTGAGAAATTGGCGAATGATTTGAAAAAGCAACATAAACTCCTATTTCCTTAATTATATCCTGGTTAGTGGTTCTTTAATTTAAAAGTATAATATAGGAATATATACTAATAATAGTAATTAAATTAACCCCGATAACTATAATAAACCGCAGCCATATAGTAAATAACAATAAAAATGAATCGCTAAAATCCGTAAACGCAGACGATTTAAATGACGACTGGATTATAGTGTTATCGTCAAACAAAAGACCGCACACATCGTCACCCCGACTCTTCTCCACTACCTAAACATAAAACAAATAAAAATTAAAAAATATTAAACCGATACACATCACTTCAAACAGATAACAATGATATGGAAACTGAACAAACCGCCGAACCTATAATACACAAACCACCTCCTATATTTATCAAATCCGAACTCTATTATTCAAAATTTTGTGAAATCATTAAAAAAAATATCGATTCCAAAGTATTCACTTGTAAAAGCAATACATCGGGACTTAAATTACATCTCAATTCACCTGAATCATACCGTAAAATTGTACGCATTTTAATAAAAAAAAATATTAATTTTCACACTTACCAATTAAAACAAGAAAAACTATTTCGTATTGTTCTAAAAAACCTACATCACTCAACGGAAATAAAATTCATTGAAGAAGAATTAATTTAAACTCGGGTTCAATGTCAAATAAGTAGTTAATGTTTTACAAAGACAATAAGAAAAAAACCCTTCCACTGTTTTTTATCGATCTTGAACCAAATATTAACAATAATGATATTTTCAAAGTAAAATTAATTTGTTACTCTATAGTAAAATTCGAAGAACCTAAACTAAATAATAACCCAATACAGTGATTGAGGTGCCAAAATTTCGGGCATACGAAGCATTATTGTAATCACGAACCCCGGTGTGTGAAATGTGAAGGCTCACATTTAACAGAAGCATGCCAAAAGTCTAAAGACCAACCCCCCAAATGTGCCTTATGCAGTGGTGATGTCATAGCGAGAATTACAAACTAAACTTAACGACAATAATATAGACATAGCACTAATTAGTGAAACTCACTTTACGGATAAATCATACTTTAAAATAAATAACTACAATTTATATAAAACTAACCACCCTAATGGTACAGCTCACGCTGGTACTGCTATTTTAATATCAAATGCCATCCAACATTAATGAAATCAGACAGTACCAAGAACCACAAATTCAAGCGACAAGTATGTCGTAATATGCACAATGCTCTGCATTACGCACCTTACATTCATCAGTATTTAATATTTAATTAATAATATAATTATATTTAATATAATTTAATATATCAATATTTAATGCCATTGTATACAAACAAATAATTTATTTATCTGTCATAACATATACACATTTGTACACTAACTGTTATTTATGTATATACATGTTAAATTGATTATTGTATACTATGCATCTTATCTTAAAAATAATTATCATGTTATGTTCAAATTTTAAACAATAAACTGAAAATCACTAAAAGCGCTGACGACAACAACCCATGAAGGGGTAATTAACAATAATATAAAAAGGCTTAGTTCTGCTTGCACATTGGTAAGTGAGCGAACGTGTCAGCGAGCGCCTCAATTCTCTCTTCTTTTTGAAGATCTGAATTCAATAAGGAATTCAGAATTCTTCTATTTGATTTATTTTAAACAAACTAGCCGCGACCCCGTGTTGTCGTCGGTACATTTTAAAGCGATATTGAATACAATTATTTTGCGTTAACACTTTATTTATTTAAAAGAGACAGTATAAATGTTTAAATTTATTATAATATTTAAAAAAGTAAGTAAATTTATATTAACCCAAATCTCCTTTTGTGAGAAAACTTTCTTATTCATATTAAAATATATATCTATATGGTTTAATTTTGTGTCTGTTGTTAATTTTTCTCAGCTTCCGCCAATTTTAATGACCAATACGTTAACAGAACACTATTTTAATCTAGTTGAACTTATAATCACTAAATATTGGAAAGAATCCTTTAATTTTAGAAAATCAGACAAATATCTCAAAATTACGCTATTGTAAAAAATAGTCATTTCAAAAAAAATTTTTTTAATTAAATATTTCCAAATTAATAGAAGTATAAAATTTATTTTTATACTGAATTACACATTTAAATCATATCAGTAAAATAAAACATTTTTTTTAAATTATAGACCAATAAATACTTTACTAAATCAAATTTTTATGCTGATAAATAATATTAGTATTTATTAAAAAAAATATGATAGGGTCGATATCTTTATTTTGGATAAATATTCGTAAAGATGAGAAAATTGTTTTAAGTACACTGTGAGCGTTTTCAATTTTTATTAAAAACGCTCAATGCCATTAGTGTTTCCCCGTGGATAAGATGAATAATAAAATAATACCCTTACATAAGATTTAACCACCCTCTTACGCATTCCATAAAACGTCCACGTAAAAGATTCTATCACATTAACCAACCAAATACAGCAAAAAATATTTCAAGAATCTCACCAGAGATCGCTAAACCAGTTTTGCGGGCTATAAAAAGGCCATTTTCCCCCAAATTCGGGTGGTTCTCTTACGGCGGTTCCTTTAAGGCTTCGCTTCTCTTACGGTGGTTATGTACGATTTCTGAACATCCCTCTAGCAGACACTGGGAGGCCTTGCCATTCTATCTCTACATCTCTACGGCTCTCTGGAATTCTCAACCAAGATACAAAAAGTGAATGTGCGTGAGTTTATGTTTCATTCTTAGTTACAATTCTATATAAAATCTGCAC